ATTAAAGACATAGTATAACAAGATAAAACATGGGGCAGGCGTTTGGCTTGATGGGTAAGATACCAGTAGCATTCCCACATCCCACACCAGGTTGCCTGGGTCTGGGACCCGGCTCTGGTTCCTGACTCCGTCTCCCTGCTAATGCGCGTTCCTGAAGGCAGCAGGTGATGGCTCAGGTCGTTGGGTCCTTGCCACTGAGTTCCTGGTTTCCAGCTTCAGCCTAGCCCAGCCCCAGTTGTTGTAGGCATCTGGGGGTGAAACAGTGGATAGGAGCTCCTTCTATCTGTCTGCCTTTCTCTCAAACAGTAAAATGAATAAAAAGAGTTTATAACCTAGAGAAAATACTGGAAAATATCTTTGCAGCCTCTGGACTGGAAAGCAAGATATGAAAGGCACAAATTATACAGAAAAACCAATAGTTTTGACTAACACAAAAGTAAAGTATGAGAAGGCCCCCGAATATCATAAACACATCTAAAAGCCATGTTAGACTGGGACCAGATATTTATGACATATACAAAAAATCAGAGATTAGTATGAAGAACAAAAATGACTACAGGTTAACAAGGAAAAAGATTACACAGTCGGAAAATGGGCAGGGCCGGGAAGAAAGGCAAACGCAGTAAACGTACGGGAAGATCCTTAGTTCAACAGCAACCAGGGACGCACAGATAAAAACTGTGACACACCTTTCTCACACATCAGCCTGGCAAAAACAAAGCATTTCACAGCCCAAATGCGGGCAGGATGTGGAGACACAGAACCCGCAGCCAGCACCGGTGGACAAGCCCCTGGAGAGCACGGAGTGTCCCTAAGGCTGCCAACCTGCCCCTGGCCATGCTGTCACTGCACAGAGCTGTACTGTTTCAGCTCATTGAGAAAACGGGTCACAGCCTGATCATGTATCCACTGACGCTGCAGAGAGAGGAGGCAGCCACGCTGGGGGGTTCCCAGCCTGGCCCATCCCGGGCTTCCTGGGCATCATGGCCGAGGCATCTTTCGGCGTCTCTGTGCCTTGCTGGGAGCGAGGCTCTGGGTCCATGCGCTCCCATCCACCATCTGGGCACCCCTGGAGCTAGCTTCCTGAAGCACAGAACTCAGTCTCCCTGCAAGGGCCAGAGTGGGCAGAAGTAGCCTGAGGCAGATCGAGCGCCACATGCAAGCAGGGTGGAAGTGGGGAGTGGTCTGAGCTGCTACCTGCTCTCTCCTCAGGGCTCCAGTACCCTTAGGAGACATGTGGACGGCTGTCCGACCACCCCCACGAGACTGCCACCTCCTCATCTCTCCGAGGCAGAACCTAGTTGTCAGTCAGTGACATCCTAACTAAAATCCTTACTTCTGGCTTTGTTTCTTGTTCAAGTGAGCAATAGATATCGAGTCATGGCAGCTAAGTCTCCACATCAGATTCTGTAAGGGGACCGCATGGTGGTTCTTTATTTAATGGTGACAACTAATTTTTTTTTTTTGGTCCAAATAATGTCTAAAGGTTTTAAGACACAGAATTTTGGGGGCCTCCACTACATACTTATCTGATAGTTGAGAAGATTCCTTATGTTTTGTGTTATGTGCTCTTTCTAAAAACATTGTATTTACTTTATATTATTTATTTGAAAGAGAGGGAGGGAAGGAGAGAGAGAGAGAGAGAGAGAGAATTGATCTTCCATTCACTGGTTCACTTGCCAAATGCCTACAACAGCCAGGACTGGGCCAAGCCAAAGCTGGGAAGGAGCCTGGAACTCAGTTCTGGTCTCCTTCATGGGAAGCAAGGATCCAAGCACTTGAGCCGCCACCTGCTGCCTCCCGGGGTGTGCAATAGCAGGAGGCTGGGATCTGGAGCAGAGCTGAACTTGACCCCAGGAGCTCTGATATGGGAGGAGGAGACCCAAGTGGCAGCCTAACTGCTGCACCAAATGCCTGCCCTCCCTACCCTCCGTGTCTTTTTGGGGAATAGGTTGGTGCTACCCACTGTGGCCCTGTCCTGTGTGAATGTGCTGGTCACCTGAGGCTGAGTGGCAGCTGGAACTCTCAAATTTCATGGCTCGGGCCCATCTTCTGTTAGGTGCACGGTGCAGTGGTGCTTGGCAGGTTCCTCAGAGTTTCTACTTTGATTGGTTGCTGTCTCATGCTTTAAAAAAATGTGCCTGAGTCATCTGGTGCTTGAAAAGGACCAACCAAGGGGTCCATTGCAATACGTGTCTTTAAGTTCTGTGGCTTTGTTGGGTTAGCCAACGGAGAATGGGAGCTCATTTTCCTGCAGGCGTGCCTTCCCTGAGCTGAGGTGTAAGGGTATACCCTCGGCTTTTTTTTTTTAAGATTATTTATTTATTTGAAAGAGTTACACAGAGAGAAGGAGAGGCAGAGAGAGAGAGAGAGAGGGAGAGGTCTTCCATCCGATGGTTCACTCTCCAATTGGCTGCACTTGTCGCAGTTGCGCTGATCCAAAGCCAGGAGCCAGGAGCTTCTTCCGGATCTCCCACGTGGGTGCAGGGGGCCCAAGGACTTGGGCCATCTTCTACTGCATTCCCAGGCCACGGTAGAGAGCTGGGTTGGAAGTGGAGCAGCGGGTACTCGAACCAGTGCCCATATGGGATGCCTGCACTGCAGGCAGTGGCTTTACCCACTATGCCACAGTGCCGGCCCCTACCCTTGGCTTTTGCTGGGGCTTCTAATCAACAATGGGCACTTGAACATCAACTTGGTATCTTTGGGACTTGAGCAGAAGACCTTTTCTGATGTTACTCAACATCAGGATTTAAGTTTCTCCAAAACTGAATACCAAGAGAATATTTAATACTCTTGAAAAACTTTGTATTTTTTGTTAGGAATTTGAGAAGCAACACGTGGTTGTATAAAAATCATGTTTTGTGGGGCTGGTGCTGCAGCCACACAGGTTAAGCCTCCACTTGTGACATCAGCATCCCATATCAGAGTGCTGGCTTGCGTCCTGGCTACTCCACTTCCAATCCGGCTCCCTGCTAATGTGCCTGCAAAAGCAGTAGGTAATGGCCCAAGTACGTAGGCACCTGCCACCCACGTGGGAGACCAGTTCTTGGCTCCTGGGTTTGGCCTGGCCTAACCTGGCTGCCGCGGCCATTTGGGAAGTGAACCAGCAGATCAAAGATGTCTTTCTCTGTAATCCTGACTTTCAAATAGATCAATCAATTTTTTAAAGCATATTTGGGGACCTAATACCTGGGTTTCGATCCCGATTCAACCTTACTGAACAAAGTTAGGCTGTGTAATCACCATTTTTCAACCGCAGTGACCTCATCCCAAAGTGGGAATAATTATCCCCATCTTATAGAGCTGTGGTGGGGAATATGAGAATTTGATGTAAAGTACCAGATATTTTGTAGATGCTAAATAAAGGTAGTTTTTATTAGAAAATGTTTTGTGCCAGAAAATTCAAGCTGGAATTAGGGTTCCAATGCAGTGGCTATTGCAATCTAGCTTTCTATTAGAATGTTATTTTTTCTTCTAATGATTTCACTTTGTACTTTTTTTTTTAAAGTTCTATTTTATTTATTGGAAAGGGAGAGAGCTCAAGAGCAAGAGAAAAACGCCCATCTCCTGGTTCACTACCCAAATGCCTACAGCAGCTGGGGCTGGGCCAAGCCAAAGCTTGGAGCCAGAAACTCACTCCAGGCCTCCTACACACCCAACCATCACCTGTCGCTTGAGCCATCACCTGTCGCTTCCCAGGTCCTCATTAGCAGGAAGCCAGAACTGGGAGCAGAGCCAGGTTAGCCTAGACACTCTGATACCGGATATGGGCATCTCAAGCAACATCTTAACTGTTGTGCCAAATGCCTTTCCCTGCGTTTTTGTTTCAATTATTCCATTCTACATGTGTTTTTAGAAAGATTTGTTTATTTATGAGAGAGCAAGAGAGAAATCTTCCATCGTTGGTTTACTCCCCAAATGGCTGCAACAGCCAAGGCTGGGCCAGGCTGAAGTCAGGAGCCAGGAACTCCACTGGGATAGGCGGGCAGGAACCCACCATGCGCGATCATCTGCTCCCTCCCGTGTGCATTAGCAGGAAGCTGGATCAGAAGTGGAGGATGAGGACTTGAACAGGCTGGGAGGTGGGCCGCTGATCCTGATGGTTGCTGATGAGCACCTCCAAGTTCAGGAAATACACACAGAGTTCTGGGTCTATTGCCTGTCTCTGCTGAATCTGTCAGTGAGATGGGCTGTCCAATGCTGTGGTCTGATGGGGCTCTGGCCCCACCACTTGCACTTGGCACAGTGAGGGAGAAGCAGCTGTCCACGCCCTGCAGGGCAGCCACAGGGTCACAGAATTCCTGAGCCTGAGCCCCCCGTCCAAAGGACTCCATGATTCACTTGGGACTCCCGCTTTTTGTGAAGGAAGGGATGCAGCCCTCCTTGCACACGGCCCCTTACCCAGAGCCCCCTGTGCTCCTTCTCTTGCCTGCTGCTCTTCCCTCCTGCACGCTGCGTCTTTGTTGGGTAGTGCGTGGTGCTTTCCTCCTCTAGTGGCACCTGGGATTCCGTGTTCTTCCAGCTGGAGGCAGGAGCTGGAATGAGAAACCAAAGTTCTCCCTCGCAGACTCTTAGGCCTTTTTTTCTCTTGGACTCTCCCGTGGCTAGCACACTGCCCTTGCAGAGTTCATTTTGCATGTGGTTGTTGAACTTGGAGTCGGTGACTCACGCTGGGGCGCACACTTCAAGTCCCCCTCCCTCACCGACTGCTTTCTTCCTTTCCTTTTTATTTAAAACCCCAAGCACAACCACCTTCGCAGATGAAGGTTCCTCTGGCGTGCAGGAAGTAGCGTGCTGGCATGAGGAGGCTCCCAGTGGTGGCGTGGTCCCTGATTCCAGGGACATCACGCTAGCCTTGGCCTCTTGCTGGTGGGAGTGCCAGAGTGAAGGCTGCAGGCAGCGGGGCCAGCGTCCACCGTGAAGACAGCAGGACACATCCTGCCGGTGAGTGCCAGTCGAGGGCAGGCTTCTGTCTGGGCTGGGAGGTGGGAGGGGAGGGGCAGGAGGCGGGAGACTGGCCGGGGGTGCGGGAGCGAGAGCAGCCCTGGGAGCAGGACCGAGTGAGCAGCATCCTGAAATATCCGATTGCTCAAACCTGCAACTATTTTAAATGCTCAAGATTAAAAAATAATACTAATAATCAGGTGAGCGTCTTCAGTTTCCTTTAGGTGAAATCCTTGCTCATTTGAGCAAAATTGTATTTAATTTTCGGGCGGTTAATGTGAGATTAAGTAGAGGAAGTGCTTTGGTGCAAGTGAAACTGCCTGCTGCGGTCTCTGCACATGGTTACTCTTAGGAAACGAGAAGGAGTGGAACTGACTCTCCTGGTCTCCCAGCCCAGATGTGGTTGGTTTGTGCGTGTCCGGCTGGAGGCTGAATGCGGGTCAGGGGCTTTGGGCATTATCTCTTGCAGAGGAGAGCTCTGTGGGCATCCAGAAGCCTGAAGAGGAAACTGGGCTAAATCTTAATCTGATGGCCCATTTTGGTGAATTCCCCGACCCATTAGAAACTTCAGCTTTGCCCTGTCCCCCAGCCCCCACCCAGGCTAGCTTCAGCTGAACCCAGAGTGCCGACGCCTCACATGGCTAGGTCGGGAGGTAGGGTAGACTGCTCTGGAGTAGGGGGCAGGCCTGCAATACTAATGTGTGCCCACTAACTCCCCCCGCCCCCGGCCAACCTCCCGGGATAACCTACAGCCATAGGAAAAGCCAGAGACAGGTTCGAGGAGGAAGCACGGCCAGTGTGCCAGAGCAGCTTTGCTGTCAGTCCGAGGGGGACGCCCCCCACTCGGGGTTTGCTCATGCACGCAGGAAAGGACCAGCACAAGGTGGGATCCACACAGCATGGGTGCTATGCAGCCTCCAAGGAGGCCATGAACCTGAAGGCCAACCTGCTGAGACAAGTCACTCAAGAAGGTGACTGATTTCACTCCCACGAGGCCCCTAGAGCCACCGCACAGGAATGAGACTTTGGAAAGTACAATGGTGCTTGCCAGGGGCCTGGGGATAGACGGGAAGGGCAGTCACTGTTGAATGGGCACCGAGTTTCAGTCTTGCAGAGTGAAGAGAGATCCGGAGGTGGATGGTGATGAGGGTTGTGCAGCCATGTGACTATACTTCATGCTACTGAATTGAACACGTAAAGGGGCTAAAATTGTAACTTCTATGTGACGTCTATTTTTCCACAAACATTTTTTAAAAATTACAAAGTCCCTTAAAAAAAAAAAAAGACGCCAGACCAAACAAACAAATGCGATTCCTGTGGGCTGAAGTCTGTCTGTGACTTCCTCAAAGCGGAACTGACAACTCCACTGAGCGCCTCAAGCTCCCAGCCGCACCAGAGACTTCTGCGTGGGCTCCATCGGGAAGCCGGGGCAGGCCAGCCTTGTCCTCCTCAGGGTGCCCTGTGGAGCCGGGAATGTCACGTGGGAAGGGACTTGGGAGCAGGGGTCAGGGTTAAGTGTGTGGGTGGGGGCGGGAGCAGCGGGCGGCCGCTAGGGGGCGCCCTCAGGCCCGGGCACCGGGAGTGGCCGCCGTGGGCGCCTCGTCTCCCCAGGTAGGAGCTGTGGGATCCTCGGAGCCCCTCTTTCCGTCAGTTTCCTCAGCTGCAGCTTTTCCTTTCCCGTTTCTCCTTTCTTCTCCTCCTCGGGCTTCTCCTGTCGGAGGTCACAGGCCTTTGGCCGGGGGGGGGCCCTCCGTCGGGATGGTCTAATTCTAGAGGAAAGGGGCGCTGGTCTGATCGCCCCTCCCTGGCCTTGGACCCCACCCTGGTGGCCTTGATGCCGAGGGGCCGTCGCAGAGTTCGCCTTTGGTTTGGGAGCCAACATCTTTGCAACCGACAGGTCATCAACACGTTGGTGGGAAAGGCCAGTGCGGAACAAGCTCCGGCCACGTGACCGCGGACGCCGCAAGAGCTCACGGGACGGTCTGAAGGTTTTCACCGATTACGAACGGGATGGGCTGTTGGTGACTTCCAGTCAGGGGCTGAGGAGGAAAACCGAGATGAAGTTGTTCATACTTTCAGGTCTTAAAAATAGAAAGGAAAAAGCAGCAGCTGGCAGGGTGGCAGCGCGGAGATCTGACGTGACCCCGCGGCCCCTGGGGAGGCGGCTGAGCGCCCATTCCCGCCCCCGGCCTCGCCCGCCCCTTTGAGAACGTGTTTAAAGGAAACGAAGTTAATTTTAAAGTCTCAAGGGGGTAGAGATGCCCGTGCAGAAGGCGGATTCTTTCCGTGTTCATGATGTCTGAAACGGCGCCCCCGCCTCACACGGTGGAGCTTTCCTGGCGTGCGACGTGCTGGGTGGGCTCTGCGGAAAGCCACAGCGTGGCCGGGGGGCCCCTGGGGGCCACGTGCCCTGCCCCCACGCAGGTGGGAGCCCCAAGTCTTTTCATTCTGGAGCCTGGCACAGCCCTGTCCATGAACCAGTGGATGGAAAATCTGTCTCTATCACTCTGTAGGCCTGACTTTCAAATAATAAATAAATCTTTCTGTCACACCACAGTGCCAGATGACAAAAGGAACCCGGACTCTCCTCCCAGCTGCTGCTTTGTGACCAAAGAGAAGGCACCTGACCCATTTTTCCACTTCCGCAAGAGCAAGGCGCCTTCCTGAACACAACTACTTAAAAGGGCGGGTACTGGGTGCCTCCCTGCGCCTTCGTGTCCTCCCCTGTGAGGAGGTGTATCTGCCCTGTCTCCCCTCCAGGGACAGTGGGAAGTTCAAATAGGGATCCAAGGTGAAGGCAGTGTGCAGAGCATGAAGGCCCACGCAACCGCCCGCTTTGGTATTCCCGTCTTTTCTCTCACCCACCCCCCTGCCCAATTAAAATCAACACGGCACACACATAAAGAGGAAGGATGGAGTAGGAGTGAGGAGGAGGCCATTAGGACTGGGAAGGCTTCATGGAGGGTGTGCCAGGGGCTAGCCTGAGTGTGCGATGGGGCTAGCCTGTTGGAGGGAGCAGGTGTTCTAGGGCAGAGGAAAGAGCCTGAATGGTGTGAGGCCGTCTGCCAGGCAGGGTGAGTGTCCTCTTCCTCCATGGATTTCGGACCACAGCTGGACCCTAGGCCCCAGGGACAGCGACCCTGAGAGAGGACTGCTCACTGATCACAGAGAGGGGAAGCTGGACCAAGGTTATGTGGCCAAGAGGCTAGAGGGCAGCTTGGCCCAAGGGTGGGGGCCTTCCCACTCCTGCTGGGGAGCTTTGCCATTTCCCCCGTGTAGGACAGAGGCACATGGGCGCTTTGGGGGAGATGTGGGAGTCTTCAGCCAGTGGACTGACCTGATTAGAGCTGTGGGGGGTGTGTGTGGCAAGTGCATTGGAGGTGGGACATCATGGCGCCGAAAGGAGTCCATGGGTGGTGAGGCCACCCTTTTCTGGCCTGCGGAAGTCTGTGCTCTTCCTTCATTGTCCAGTTCTGTGAGGGTCTTTCTGGCCTTCCCTCGCCCTCAGAGGAAGAGAAGTCATTCCTCTCCTGTATTTTGAAAGTGCAGTTTTCTAATGGAATGTTTTGTACTTTTGTTTATGGTTCAGAGCTTGTTGCTTCCATTTTCCATCTGTTTTCCTGAACAGATGGTGCATGAGTTGAAACTGGATTGAGTATCATTTTGTTTTTACAGAGCTGGGACCCAGACCAGTGCTGATACCTCGTAGGTGATTCTCAAGGGTTTGTTCCGTGAAGGATCAGATGGACCAGGGCAGTGGGGTGCGAGTGCCCTGTGGACCGTGCCTATGGAAAATGGCCCAGGAAACAGGACTTGTGATCAGTGTATGTAGAAGTGAGGGGAAGAGAGGAGTGAAGGTGACTTTGAGATTTCTTCCTTGGACCTCAGGGGGCTGCCATTCAATGTGATTGGAAGCACAAGGAAAAAATATGCAAGGCAAGAAGTTAACCCCGTCTTTGGACATTTATTCAACAGGAGTGTGTCCAAACTCCTGAGATACATTGATTCTGAGGTGGATTGGAATGGCTGAGCGATTCACAGCGTTTCTGGAGGAATCGACAGATGACAATCCAGCATGTTCTAACAGAGGGTGTGTATGTGCCTAACCTGTGCATTCCGCTGAGTGACGTGTGAGCTGAATCTTCAAGTTGACCAAGCCAAAAAGAGCCTTCCCACAGGGGCAGCAGCACAGCAGTGAGAAGGTGCTGGAATGCTTAGGGAGCAGGGAGAGGATGGGTCCAGAGAAGGGGTCAGTGGGCCAGTGGTGGGTGGTGAGGTGGCTGGGTGCGGTCGGAGCTGCATCGTCAGGCAGCTCTCAGCCTGTTCAGGACCTTGCTGTCCTTCTTGTAGTCCACCAGGGAGCAGAGGGTATTTCTGAGCAGGGGGTGATGCGGACCGACTTGAAATAGGATGCTGGCTGCAAGCCACAGGGGCCTGAGGTGAGAGAGGCCACTCTGCCGCTGTGGGGTGAAGAGGCAGGACTGTGGCTCTGTGGGCAGCTGAGCAGTAGGGTGTGGGTCTGAGGGGGACAGGCTGAGTGGGGGAAAGACACTGGGGGGAAAAAAAAGGCACTGAGAAAGACAGAGGGAATGGTGATGTGTCTATAGGACCAGGTACATAAAAATAACTGTTGGGACAGTTGTGGATTCAAGGAGAACCTTTTTTGGTTTTAGAACCTTATACTCTTAAAAATTATTAAGAATCTCAAAGAGATTTTATTTATATAGCTTATATCTACTGATATGTGCTTTGTTATAAACTAAAAATACATTTATTTTTAAATAATAAGCCAATTACATGAATATAAATGACATCTTTATAAAAATCAACTTTACTTTCCAAAACAAAACAATTTACTAAGAAGACTAGCACTGATTTAGAGTTTTGCAAATTAATGTTAATAGAGGATAGCTGGATTTTTCTTTAAAATATTTATTTATTTATTTGAAAGGCAGAGTTACAGAGAGGCAGAGGTAGAGAGAGAGAGAGAAAGAGGTCTTCCAGCTGCTGGTTCACTCCCTTCATGGCCACAACAGCTGTAGTTGTGCTGTTCTGAAGCCAGGAACCAAGAGCTTCTTCCGGGTCTCCTACGCAGGTGCAGGAGTCAAGAACTTGGACCGTCTTCTGCTTTCCCAGGACATAGCAGAGAGCTGGATCGGAAGTGGAGCAGCCAGGACTTGAACCAGTGCCCGTATGGGATGCCGGAACTACAGGCGGCGGCTTTACCTGCTATGCCACAGCGCCGGCCCCTAATAGATGGATTCTTACATCTGTTTCTGCATTCAAACTATTGAAATGCCATGACATGAAGTTTCTAGAATAATTCTCTTATGTACTTGTGAGAGGATGAGAAGTGGCATAAGCAAATTAAATCTTACTATTGTTATTATTTTATTTTATTTTTGACAGGCAGAGTTAGACTGAGAGAGAGACAGAGAGAAAGGTCTTACTTCCATTGGTTCATACCCCAAATGGCCGCCACGGCCAGTGCGCTGTGCCTATCCGAAGCCAGGAGCCAGGCACTTTCTCCTGGTCTCCCATGCAGGTGCAGGACCCAAGCACTTGGGCCATCCTCCACTGCCTTCCTGGGCCACAGCAGAGAGCTGGACTGGAAAAGGAACAACCGGGACAGAATCCGGCGCCCCAACCGGGGCTATAACCTGGGGTGCTGGCACAACAGGTGGAGGATTAGCCAAGTGAGCTGCGGTGCTGGCCCAAATCTTAGTATTATTAAGAACCATTGGAAATAGAGATTTAGAAAATGTTGAGTGACAATGTTCTGAGTACTTGTAGCACTTTATTTAAGTGGCTTGCCTGGTATTTATCTCATGGATTTGTAACTTGTGTGCCTAGTACTGCAGACATGCAGCTTGGGCCCCTTGGAATATAGTGGCTGATCCTAACATTGAAGAAGTGAGCAGAGAGGAGGGAGCTGTAAAGATGTAGCAAGAGAATCAGGCCAAGTGACGTAACCTGAGAGAGTCCCATAAAGGGTTATCCTTAGAGCAGGTGTTTAGCCTTGGAGTACTTTGGTTCTATTCCTGGTGCTGGCCCTCGACCTTGGGAGGCAGAAGGCAAAGCAATTAGGTCCTTGCCACCAATATGGGAGACCTGCATGGAGTTCCCAGCTTCTGGTTTTATTCTGGCCCAACCTTTGTTATTTGGGCGTTTGCGGAGTGAACCAGAGGATGGGAGTTCTCTCTGTGCTCTCTCTCTCTCTCTCTCTCAAATGAATTTTAAAAAAGAATCCAGTATTAAAGGAAATGTTTCATTCTCATAAAAAAAAAAGGAAAGAAAAAGTGGTCTGGAAGTTGTATAAGGCAAAGAAGTGCAGACGCTGTCGGACGTGGAACGTGGAAGGTGCGGGTGACTTGGGGGCAGTGGGCACTGTCAGTGGTCAGCGGTGGTTCCTGCTGTCAGCGGGCCAAGGTGGAGTGGGAGGTGAGCCAGAGGGGCTGCAGCATATGCCTCTCTCTGTGTGGCATGCTGGTCAGCTCCTGCACTCTTGGGGGACACTGTAAGAGAAAGCCAGAGAAGGAACCTGGTGGAGAGGTGTGAGTGCAGCGAATGGTCAGATAGGGGTGGAGTGGAAGGTGATGAACCTGTGACCCTGAGAAAAGGGGGGGGGGACAGATGTGCGAGAATGTCCACAGGGCAGGATTTGTAACAGCAGAAAGTGGAACACTACCTAAAGTCCACTGTTTGGCACGTGGTTTAACACCAGAGAGCCCCATCCGTCCATCCACAAATAGGCTTGAGATTCAACTGTGCCAGGCTCTGTACTAAATTCTGAGGATATAGAGGGTAAATTGATATGTAAAATTCCCCAGATGCACTTTTTATTTATTTATTTGAGTGAGAGAGTTGTCTCTCCTATGTTTCACTCCCCGAATGCCCACAATGTCTAGGGCTGGCCAGGCTGAAGTCAGGAACTGGAACTCAGCCAAAGTCTCCCACATGCCTGGCAGAAACCCACCTGCATCTGGTGTCTCCCAGGGTGCACACTGGTAGAAAGCTGGAATTGAGACTGGAGCTGCGACTCCAACTCAGGTACTCTGATATGGGATGCAGCCCTCCCAAACAGTGCTTCAACCATCTGGCCAGGTACCTCCCCCCTCCCAAATGCATTTTCTGAGTAAGAAAATCAAGTTGCTGGGTAATATGTGTAGTATGACACTACTGATGTAAAGCAAAACAACCCTGAAACAATATTTGTGTGTATCTATGAGATATGCAAGTAAGTCATAGGGAAGTGCTAAAAGGCTGCGAACAGCAGGGGAGGCAAGTGGAGCTGGGGATCCATGCAAGACTTCTTTTTATACTTCTGCCTTGTTCGAATTGTTCACGATTATGTCTATATTTTAAAATGATTTTGAAAGATGTAGATCTTTGAGGGTAGAAAAGAGGGAGGCGGGGCCTGTGCTGTAGAGTAGCTGGGAAAGCCGCCTCCTGCAGTGCTGTTGTCCCATATGGGCTCCAGTTTGAGTCCTGTCTGCTCCACTTCCAATCCAGCTCTCTGCTATGGCCTGGGAAAGCAGTGGAAGATGGCCCAAGTCCTTGGGCCCCTGCACCCGTGTGGGAGACCCAGAAGAAGCTCCTGACTCCTGGCTTTGGATTGACCCAGCTCCAGCCATTGTGGCCATTTGGGGAGTGAACCAGCACATGGAAGACTTTCTCTCTCTCTCTCTCTCTCTCTCTCTCTCTCTCTCTCTCCCTCTGCTTCTCTGTAACCTTCCTTTCAAATAAATAAATAAATAACTTTTTTAAAGAGGTCTGGTCTTTCCTGAGATTTCTTGTTGGCTTGGTCATCGCCTTTCTTTTGGGACTGTGTGGTAGGCTACAGCCCCCTTCTTTCCCTGCCACCCACAGTTGTAAGCCAAGCAATGATGCCAGGATGGGAAGGGTCAGATTTGCATTAGGACCTTCTATTTTCCAGGGTCAGTGTGGTTTGAATTAACTGGCAGAGCAATCTGTGCCAGTGCACAGAGCTGAATTTGGAAACCCTGCCTTCCTGGGAGTAGAATTGGCCAGGGGGCATTCCCCCGTATGACTCAAGGGGCCTGTGTTAGTATGCCTGGGCTGCCATAAGGAAGTACATGGATGGTTGCACACTTCTGGAGGCTGGAGGTCAAGGTGTTGGCATGGTTGATTACTTCTGAGGCCTCTCTCCTGGGCTCGTCGCTGGCTGCCCATCTCTGCTTATTGATGTTATCATCCTCTGTGTGTCTGTGTCCAAATTTCCTCCTCCTCCAAGGACACTGGTCCTATCAGATTGGGACCACTCTACTGACCTCATTTGAAAGGCCTCCTCTCCAAATTAGTCACACTGTTAGGTACTGGGGCTTAGGGCATCAGGTAAACACCATTCAGCCTGTTACAGAGCCTCGGAAGCATTTCTGGGGCCTGTCCGGGTTGCTGGGTGCCCTGCTCAGCCCTTGCCACCCTGGTATCTGGCGGGTGTTCCCTGTGGGGATGTGGTGTGGGGCGAAAGCCCCAGTGAGTGCAAAAGTTGTGTGATTGCACCTGCAGCTCCCCACCCACACCGAGACTGAAAATCCCCAAGGGGCCCAGACTGACATGATTTCCTGATAGATACGACTGGGAGGGTGGGAGGACACATGGCACCGCCCTCAGGAACCCGTGCCCAGAAGATACCTGATGGATGCTTTTTCTCTTTAGTGCATGCCTGCGGGGCCCCACGAGGAAGAAGCTGGGGGCAGGACCCCCTCCAGGTGCCGGCTGGCTTAGCATGGAGCGCCCAAGCAAGATGGAGTTCTTCCAGAAGCTGGGCTACAGCCAGGAGGACGTGGCCAGGGTGCTGAGCAAGCTGGGTGATGGCGCTCTGGTCAACGACGTGCTGCAGGAGCTGATCCGGACGGGCAGCCGCCCTGGGGCCCAGGAGAGCCAGTCCGCGCCCCTGCTTGTCCCCCGGGGCTCCTGTGGGGCCCCAGACTCTGCTCAGTGGGGCCCGGGGCCAGCTCCAGAAGAGAACTGTGGAGACCCCGCCAGTTCCCTGCGTCCCATCGTGATTGATGGCAGCAACGTGGCGATGAGGTAGCTTTCCTTCAACCCGTGGTTGGGAGTGGCGGGGAGGGAGTGTGTGTTCTCAGGAAGCCAGAGAACTGTCCCTCTTCTCTGTGTTTGGTCCAAAGAACTTTGGGACCGGTGGATGGGGTTTGGAGTCTCTGTTCTGGCTCTTCGTAGCTGAATGGTCATAAGCCAGCCCCTTAACCTCTTTGAGCCTCATTTTCTCCGTGGGTGATGTTGGGCTAGAACTTCCCTAGAGGGTGGATGTTTGGAGCAGCATGGGACCTGCCACAGAGTAGGTGTCCAGCGCGTGGGTGCTGTTCTTACATTAATCCAGTCTTCTTCTGGGAGAGCAGGGCTTGGCAGATGTGGCTGCTTGTCTGGAGCGTGGCCCTACCAGCTGCGTGACTGCCAAAGCCGTGTAATACTTGTTTCTTGAGGCCAACAGAGTCTCTTCTACTCCCCTCTGGGTCATGAGAATCCGATGGGAAGATGTACTTGGTTGCATTGGTTGCCGAGGAGGTGGGGTTGCGGTTTTCTTGCTCAGTTTGAGATGTGTTTGTGGTCTCCTAAGCTGCCGATACAACTGTGTGAATACTCGTGTCTTGGGATCTTCATGTGTCCTGGGACTGTGAGCACCGTGCCTGCATGGTTATCCTTCCTGGCTTGGCTAAGCTCTGCTGTGCCAGCCTCTGCAGCTGCCCCACACTCCCTGCTGGGTCAGGAGGGGTGTGGCTCGGACAAGTGCATCGTTCTCCCACTTGGCTTAGTTACCGCTGGGCAAAGGGCAGAGCCATAGGAAATTGTTCACTCACAGCTTTAACTGTATGTGCTTCCTTTTTCTAAAGCTGAATTGGGAATCCAGTCAAGCAGTTCTTGGCAGCGTTGAAGGTGTCAACAGTGCATCCGGGAGTTTTCCCTGGGGTTTGGGCTCACTCTGAATTTGGCATTGTGTAGGCACAAGTTTGAAGTGGTTCACCCAAGATGACCCAACCTTGGGGGCTGTCCCTACATGCTCTGTGTGCTGTGTACTCAGAGTGTTTGTTCAATTTTTAGTTTATCATTTATTTGCAAGGCAGATTCACACACATACACACACACACAGATCTGCCACGGGTTGGTTCACTCCTCAAATGCCTACAAGAGCTAGAGTTGGGCCAGGACAAAAATAGGAACCAGGAACTCTACCTGGATCTCCCACATGGGTGGCAAGGGCCCAAGTACTTGAGCCATCATCTGCTGCCTCCCAAGGTATACAATAGCAGGGAGCTGGATTGGAAGTGCAGCTGGGACCCCAACTCAGGCACTAGGATATGATATGCTTTGCCACAACACCAGCACACTCAATTTAATTTGAAAGGCAGAGAGAGGCAGAAAGAGACAGGGAGAGGCACAGAGAGGTTACAGAGATGATGGAAATCTTCCATCTACCGGTTCGCTCCCTAAATGCCCACAACGAAAGGGCTGGGCCAGGCTGAAGCTGGGGGCCTGAAACTCAGTCCAGGTGTCCCACATGGGCAGGAAGTATCCAATTACTTGAGCCAACACCTGCTGCCTCCCACTATGTATATTAGCAAGAAGCTGGAGTTGGGAGCAGAGCAGGGACTTGAATGGAGGCACTGCAGTAGAATCGGGCAGTCTGAGAATGGTGTCTTAACCACTGCGCCAAATGCCTGGCCCTGCTTGCTCAATTTTTAACCATCAATGGATCCTCCTCTTCCCTTGGGACTTAGGAGCTTGGTTCACAGGATCATCATTACAGTCTCGCCCGTGTTCCCTGGAGGCACTAGATGGGTGAGTTCATAATCTCTTGCTCGAGTTAAGAGCTTTGGAAACTTCAAGGGACTTTCAAGAAGCTATAAGGTTCTCAGAGTCCTGGAAAGTCTGACAGAGGTGTGGAAGGGAACACAGCTTTGCTGTGCTCTGGATAAAGCACCTCTCTCTAGGCTTCAATAGAAAGTGGGCTTTGAGTGTGAGACGATTATCACCTAAAACAATGAACTCCCCAGCCCCGAGATTACATGAGTCTGAGGTTAGAAATCGAAACAGAAGAATGGGTGCAGGGTAAAAAGCCTTCTTTAGGGCCTCCAGGAAAGTGTCAGGGCTCTCTTTGGGGTCCAGAGAGTTTAGGAATTATTAGGACAGAGTGGCCTGCAAAAGTTTTCTTTTGATGACAGCCTCTGTTACTGGTTGGAATTCAAACATAAACCACATCCTCTGTTTTCACATGACTGTCATATGTTCTGAGTAAGCCCATTTAGCCTCACCTCCTACACCCTTACCTCCCCCCCATTGTAATCATTTTAATCCATTCATGCTCAATCTGGGGGGTTCCAAGTGGAAGTCACCACTGAGACTTACTATGAAGAAGGAATGTGTCAGTGCATAAACACTTTCATCCACTTGTACCAACATAACACAACTCTCCAGAACACATCTATCTGTGTGTCGATATTTGCATGCACTGACATACACAAATGTACATATGTCTGGACACACACACTTTCCCCCTGCTCCTCGTGTCCCAGTAGGAAAAATGGACAGATTGCACAGTTTGTTCCTTTCCAAGACAGGTTCTGGGAGAGAGTAGGATTCAAGGTTGGGCTCCATCCCCTGCCCCTTCTCCTACAGTGCCCTCTGCTGTGTCCTCCCATGGGTGCTTGAACAGCCCCTGGTCCCTCCAGGTTTGTGTGGTCCTCAGTGAGGAAGAGAGACCCAAGTGGCGCTCACCCTTTACAGGGAATGTGTGGTCTAAACTCAGAATTATTACCCATAACCTCAACATCCATTAACCTCAGAAACATGGTTCCTGGACGCTCTCCTCACTGAGGGTTTGCAGTTTGCAGGCGCTGTTCTTGGTTTTGAAGGGGATAACTGCCGGGCCCTGGAGGGCTGGGGAGGAGCTTGAAGAGTGGTTGGGACACGCCTCCTTCCTAGCCTCATTGGATGAGATGGGCGTCTCCTGTTGTTGGCAGCCGTATCCTCCAGGGAGTGCGGTGCCCTGTGCCTCTGTTCCTTGGGGCCCCGTGGTAGCCTGTGCCTTTGTCTTTGGGAAGTCCTGTTTTAGTGAACCCTTGCAGACCAGCAAGGCCAATTGCCGCTCAGGACTTAAAACACAGGTGTATTCTCTTCTAGGTCTGGCAGCCAGCAGTCTGACCCAGGTCTCCTGGGCTCAAATCAGGGCGTCAGCAGAACTCACTCATTTCTGGAATCTGGAGGGGAGATCTGTTTTCTCATCTTCAGATTCTAGAAGCCTTCCTCTTTCTTTCTCTCATAGCTCCGCCCATCTGCCAAGCCAGTAATGGCCCAAAACGACAGACACAGTATGGCCTGTGTGCATCCATGTGTGTGTTTTCTGGGGGGGGAAAGAGCTGTAACTTTCAACAGACACTTAAGGGGTCTATGATCCCTAAATTGTTAGGAACCACTGTTGTAGAATGAGAAATTATAGATAATGTCATCTTCGCAGCCAGGAATTTCTTTTTCCTCTTCCTCTTGGGAGGCAGCTAGCCACTGTCCGGTTAGCACAGGGAACGTTAGAGTGGCCTATCAAGTCTTATATCTGACCCTCTCAGTTGCACAATAAGGGCCATGATGGACTTGGCCAAAGTTCATACTGCCTGGAGCCAGACCTTGACCTCTGTTGGTGTATTTCCTGATCATGCCACCACCTATAGATGTTTCTGTGGCCTTCTTTCCCCTGTGCTGCACAATGTTTTTTTTTTTTTATATTTATTTGTTTGAAAGTCAGAGATGCACAGAGAGAGGAGAGGCAGAGGCAGAGGCAGAGGCAGAGAGAGAGGTCTTCCATCCGCTGGTTCACTCCCCAGTTGGCTGCAATGGCCGGAGCTGTGCCGATCTGAAGCCAGGAGCCAGGAGCTTCTCTGGGTCTCCCACATGAGTGCAGGGGCCCAAGGACTTGGGCCATCTTCCACTGCTTTCCCAGGCCATAGCAGAGAGCTGGATAGGAAGTGGAGCAGCCAGGACATGAACCGGCGCCCATATCGGATGCTGGCACTGTAGGCGGCAGCTTTACCCACTATGCCATGGTGTGCACAATGTTTAGCCTAAGGCTGTTCATCCTGGCAGAACCAAGAAGGCCTAGGCTGACTTTCCTGGAGGTTGACAGGATGAGTCATGCTGTATCAGTTAACTGTTTGTCAACACAATGAAATACCCGACAGGCTACCTAGGAAGGAAAGGGCTGGTGGGGCGATCAGGTGGCGCCTAAGGCCTTCCTGCTGGCAGAGTCCCGAGGTGGCGCTGAGCACGTCTGTCCTTATCTGTGTGTTCTCTTATGAAGCCACGAGGATTTAATTGGGGGCTCCACGCTAACAATGCAATTCAACCCCATCCCTTCTCAAAGGTCCCGGCTTCAGACACCATTCATGTAAGACTTTGGGGACCAAACCTTTAAGAGCTGGGCCTCTGGGGGACACTGGGCAGTCAGTCTAATATCCAAGCCATTGCACAGGTCAAGTACATTGTACAAGAAATGGGAGAGTACTTGCTCAGAGCACACGCGAGTTGTCTGCTTCATGAAACACATCCTGTCCTTGAATCATTTAAATAAAAGAGAACTGTGTATATAGAGCTAACACCCAAATGACCTAAAAAAACCCCTCTATTTCCTCACTGCAAAACAGAAAGAGTCCACTGGGCTCGTCTTAGCAGAAGTGCTGGCTTCATTAATCATTTCAGAAGTAGTGGGTCAACTTTCATGAGAATTCTAAGGGCAATGTGGAAGGAGCATCAAACCAGGGCCTGGGAAGCCGGCGGGCCTTGCACTTGCCACACAGTCTTGCAGAATCTCTGTGTCCCATACGGGAAACCAGGGAGGTCAGAGGCAGAGGATGGACATGGGTTAGTGCCTGTACATCTGAGCTCCGTCTACCAGCCCAGGTAGACATCTCCCAAGACAACTGCCTGAGATGATGGAAAGTTCCAGACCTGCACTGTCTTTTATAGCAACCACTTGCCCAGTGTGACTGTCAAGCACTTGAAATGTGGCTAGTGCAACTGAGGAACTGAATTTAAAATTTTATTTCCTTTGAATGAGTTTGAGTTTAAACTGAAGTAGCCACATGCAACCACATGGGTTTTTCAGCCCACCAGCTGTGTGGCCTCTTTAGAGTCTTGTTTACACAATTCAGAAGCTGAATTAAACAACTTTAAATGATGTTCTCATCTTTGACATGCTAAGATGCAAGGTGATTATTTTACAAATGCTTGAAAGAAACACATGCATTTTCAAGGCTAGCTCTGTGACATAGCTGGTAAAGCAGCCACCTGCAGTGCCGGCATCCCATAGGGGTGCTGGTTCTAGTCTTGGCTGCTCCACTTCCACTCCACCTCTCTGCCATGGCCTGGGAAAGCAGCAGAAGATGGTTCAAGTCCTTGGGCCCCTGCACCCGTGTGGGAGACCCGGAAGAAGCTCCTGGCTCCTGGCTTCGGATCAGCCCAGCTGCAGCCATTGTGGCCATTTGTGGGCGTGAACCAGCGGTTGGATACTCTCTCTCTCTCTCTCTCTCTCTCTCTCTGCCTGTACCTCTCTGTAACTCTGCCTTTCAAATAAATAAATAAATCTTAAAAAAAAAAAAAAAGAAGCACATGCATTGTCCTCATGAAGGGATTTCTCGTGTTCTTTGGAGGTTTGAAGCAAGGAGGAGCTCCCCAGGGGTCAAAGAGCAGTTTGTGGTGCTCTGCACTCTGGCTTTTCCTAATGCCTTCTGATTTCCATACCTGCAGCTCTTCTTCTCTGGCCTGGATAGGGCCGCACAGTGGGGTCAGAGCCAACCTGTGCTGACCGGGGTCTTCCCCAGGCAGGGTGAGCCCTGGACCTATTTGCCATAGCCCCTCTGCAGGGCTGGAGCCCTCCTGCTGCCCCTCCTCCCCGCCCTGCCGGGGGCTGGGGCCCCCCAGCGTTGAATGTGCATTGAATGATAGCTCTGGTTGACTAGCAACATAGAGATCCATTTCCAAGTACATCCTCATGCCTCCACGGGGTGTGTGTGTGTGTGTGTGTGTGTGTGTAACTGTGAGTGTTTGCATGGAGAGATGTCAGCTTGGATCTCTCAGTTGAATACGCAGTCCTTAGACCCTTGGCCTGAAGAAAAGTCCCTCAACTTTTTAAGAAGATGGTGGCTTGCATTGGAGGCCTGCTATTAGCTGCGTCACGGTATTGGAGAGCTTGAATTCTCCCAAGCCAAGTGTTGCAGCATTTGCTTGCTGGGGCCCGCGACCTCCCCAGGGCCCAGCCGGCTTTACCGTCTGCAGGCAAATCTAGCAAAGTGGGAGGGAGGCGAAAGAGCCGCAGCGTGGGAGGAAACCACCTGACAATTTCACATCCTCTTGCTGCCAGGCTGGGGCTGGCATTTGACGTGCCCTCATCTGGGGAGGCAGAGGACTCTTTGTTTTGGTCATTAAGTTTTCAAACTCTTAGGAAAGTGGCTGCCCCTGGAGGAAGGTATCATTCAATGAGGGAGTTCAGGCTTGAAATCATGAAATCATGCCCCTCCCTTTTCCTCATGTCGCTCTCGGGGCTACGGTAGTGAGTATGAGATGGGGGAGGGCCCGTCAGTGCTGGCCCCTCAGCCTGGGGTTCTGAGCCTGCCCTGGCTGCCTAGTCTGCTCCCATTGGTCTCTGTACAGATGAGGGCACTCTGAGAGCCACTGCTCACTCCCTCTCTTCCTGGCCTTGAGCTGGGGAGAGGCTCCTGGGGAGTAGGTTTGGTGTTCTCAGTTCAGCCCCAAGTAAGACACAGACGTGAACCTGCACTGGGACTCTGGTGTCTCAGGCCCTGAGGAATCGGCTCTGCCTTTCCTCCCAACCCACAGCCACCGCGTTGTCCCACACAGGGCTGTTTTGTGGGCCTCTAACTCCTGCAGGGACTTCCTGGCAGTAGTCAGGTCACAGCGGTGTGGCCTGGGCTGTTTGCTGACTAATTGGTCTGCCAGTTGCAGCCGCCTCAGGCGCAATCGGCAGGTAGGCAGACTTTGCCCCAGGCACCAATCCATCTCTTTCCAGCCTCCAGCCCTTCACAGTTCTGGCTCTTGCTTCCTTTCCCAGGGCCTAGGCCCTGCTCTCTGGTTCCTAGGGCCCCTGCATGACCACATGAGGGTTTTTCCCCAAGCAGGGATATTTTAACCACAGGTGACTCATTGCTCCAAAGGAGCTGCCATCCCAATCATCGCAGGGACCCACAGGGACGGGGGAGAGTATGAGTCTGCAGCCCGACAGATGTCCATACATGGCTGTGAGTCCAGGAAGGGAAGCACAAGCGTGTGTGTCCCTCTGTGTGCCGGGCAGTGGACTGCAGGGTGACTGTGCATGTCAGGGATCAGCTTCCCTCACTGTCCCTTACCACTCACTGCTCCCCGCCCTCAACTGTGCACCTGTCCAAGGTGTCGGGATGGAAAAGTTGGCTTTTGCATGATTGAAGACATACAGGGCAAGTCCTAGAAAAGGACAGTTAAGAAGCACTTTTAAAACAATTTTTTAAAATTTATTTGACAGAGTTATAGACAGTGAGAGACTCAGAGAGAAAGGTCTTCCTTCCATTGGTTCACTCCCCAAATGGCCGCTGCGACCAGCGCTGCACCCATCTGAAGCCAGGAGCCAGGTGCTTCCTCCTGGTCTCCCATGTGGGTTCAGGGCCCAAGCACTTGGGCCATCCTCCACTGCCCTCCGGGCCACAGCAGAGAGCTGGACTGGAAGAGGAGCAACTGGGACTAGAACCGGCGCCCATATGGGATGCCGGCGCCGCAGGCGGAGGATTAACCAAGTGAGCCCCAAGAAGCACTTTTTGAAAGGATCGTGAGGCGACTTCGCTGCAGCGTGGAGTGACCGTGTGTGGTGTGGGCAAGGGGTCTCTGTGGTTCGCTTTCCTGCTTCGAGGTGCAGAGAAAGCACAGTGCATAACCTGTGCCAGATGCTGCCTCTCCCCCACCCTCACAGGCAGTGGGTGGTGGCAAGCCCGACAGTCACCAGTGTCCCCACAGTGGCACCTCTGCATCTTGTCCTCTGGATGACCCTGGTGGCATGTTTCCTTCCCCTCCCCCTGAGAGCCGTGCCCCCCCGCCCCCTTTGTCCACCCCAGGGGTCTCGGATGGTCTCCCAGGCCTGACGTACCCAAGAGATCCTTGTGTTGCTCCAGACCCCTCCTCAGTTCTGGCAGAAGCCAGGCTTTCCCAGGGGGCTGGCAGCCTGTCTGTACAAGGCTGGGGGTTCCTACATCTCCCCTCCTCAGGGCTCTGTTCGGGGAGCTCAGCTGGGAACAGCTGGTGTGGGGCATCGGGGGAGGCCCTGGTGAGGGACCGCCTCATTCTGCCTCTCCTCTCCTCTCCTTTCTTTCCTTCCACTGGGGTGAAAGAGATAGGCGTCTGCCTCCTCTTCCCTTTGACAGCAGACATCTCCACGGATACTCCCCCTCACTGATACTCCGCTCGCATAGCCTCGTGCCAAGGACCTATTTCCTTTATCCTGGAAGAAACCCAGATCCAGGCAGCCAGGCCTGGCTCCCCCCTGGCTACTGATCTAAAGGAATACGAGAACGGTCTCCTGCATCCCCACGAAGCCTGGCTTCTTCATACTGTGGCTGAGGGAGGAGGGGAGGGAACTGGGCCTAGAGGGAAGGAAACAGCTGGTGCAAAGGCCCTAGGGTGGGAGTGGAGTAGGAGCATGGCCAAGACAAAGGACTGAAAGAGGAGAGAGGGAAGGGTGATCTAACATTGAGACCAGCCTTGTTCTCATCCATGGTGAAATCCAGTTGGTTTTGCCTTCTCGGTATCTCAAATATGTCTGCTTGTGTACCTCGCTAGCCAAATACCACTGACCCCCCACTTACTAAGTCTGAGCCAAGTCTTCTGGCTTCCTTGCTTGGTCTTAGGAAACCCAGTAATGTACTTACAGCCTTCTCTCAGGGTGCCAGTAATTCTATAGATGGTCAATCTCATCAATGTTTTAAAATTTATTTTTTATTGATTTGAGAGGCGGAGAAATAGACACACACACAGGCACACACACACACACATACACACAGAACAAACTCTCCTGTTGGTCTGCTCCACAAATGCCTGCGATAGCCACAACTGGGCCAGGCTGAAGCCAAGAGCTAGGAACCGAATCTGGATCTCCCAGGTGGGTGGCAGGAATCCAACTGCTTGGGCCATTACCTGCTGCCTCCCAGCTTGGACTCTGGCAGGAAGCTGGAATCACGAGCGGAGCCAGGACTGGAAACCAGGCACTCTGATACGAGACGCAGGCATCCCAAGCAGCGTCTTAACTGCTGAGCCAGACCCGTTCCTTGTCTCGTCCACTTTATGTCAGCCTCATTAGCTTCAGCTAAGGAGACGATCTTGGCTACAAATCCTTGGAATGTTTCCCCATTAGAGATCGAGAGCCTCTATATTTCTTCCACAAGCTGTGTGTCTTATTAAGGGATATTCTCCTAGTTCAAAGTATCCTTCAAGTGTAGGTTTCCTGGTCTCCTCTTGCTTGTGCGACATTCATCCAAGCATTCTTAGAGGATGTCGCTCTTCGGAAGCCTCTCTGTGTCTCTACAGATTTCTTTGTTTTCCCGTTGTAGCCATGGAAATAAAGAAGCCTTCTCTTGCCGGGGAATCCAGCTGGCTGTGGACTGGTTCAGGGACAGAGGACACACCTTCATCAAGGTTTTTGTCCCCTCCTGGAGGAAAGAGCCATCAAGATCAGATACCCCCATCAGAGGTACGCTGCACAGATGCTTGCTTAAGGGCCCTGTGTGCACTTTTCCATGGTAGTTCTCCCAATAATGGTGGGTCGTCTGTTACTTGGTTAAGCATATCTGCTTCACTGCACGGTAAGCCCCATGAAGGCACTGCTTGTGAATGTGCGCTGCTCTAGCCTACCTCCCAGCACCTAGCATAGCACTCAGCAGGCAGTGGGTGCTCAATACATCCTGGCTGACTAGGTGAATGACCGAATCACTGTCTTTTAGTGTGAGTGAGTAAGTTCCAGAAGTAACTGTACCTTACGAATTTTAACACTCTGAAGGAAGGCTGGATCTGCATTCACTCCTAATAGTACAAAGGACCTGAAAAAGACTTCCAGTTATTTACTGAATGCCTGGTCTAGTCTCTTCATTAAAAATAAAAACAAAAACAAAAACAAAACAAAACAAAAAAAGAACCAGCAGAGGGAAATCGAGGACTAGGGAATTCTTTATTTTTTTTAAAAATTACTTATTTGTTTATTTAAAAGGCAGAGAGAGAGAGAGAGAGAGAGAGAGAGAGAGAGAGAATATATGTTCCTTCTACTGGTTCACTCCCCAACTCCTCAACAGCTGGAGAAGCACCAGGCTTAAGCCAGGATTCTGGAACTCAATCCAAATTTCCCACATGGTAGCAGGAACCCAACTACTTGAGCCATTACCTGCTGTATACCAGGTGTGCGTTAGCAGGAAGCTGGAATTGGAAGTGGGGCTGGGACTGGAACCCAGGCGCTCTGATATGGGATGCACAGGTCCAGAGCAATGGCCTAGCCTCTGTGCCAGTGGCCCACCCTGAAGTCTTTGTTTTTGATTCTGAGAGCAGCTAGGAATATTTAAACTATTTATAACAATAGAACAGTGTGGTTTAAATAAATAGAGTTTTTGTTTGTTTGGCTTTCCTATAAGGAGACATCAGGTGCTAAGGCATTACTGGCATTATTTCAGCCATGGCAGCAGCCGCAGGGCCAACCTCCTGGTGATTCTGGGAGGTCTCCCTGATTTAAATTCCAGCCTTTTTGCCCAAGCTTTTGTTTTGGGTTTATTTTTAATTCTATCAATGGTTGCCAGTTGCTGCTGCTTCTCTCACCATTACCCTTTTTAAACAAACAAACAAAAAAACCAGCATTTAATTAGTTATTTATTTAATTTTTACCTGTTTGAGAGGCAGAGAGACAAACAGAGGGAGGAGAGACAGACAGACATAGTGAAAAAGCTCCCATCTACTAATTCATTCCTCAGGTGCCCACAACGGCCAGAATTGAGCTGAGGCTGAAACTGGGAGCTGGGAACCTGATCCAGGTCTCCCATGTGGGTGGCAGGGAACCCATTACCTGAGCCATCACCGCTGCCTCCCAGGGTCTGCATCAGCAGGACGCTGGAGTCAGGAGCTGGAGCCTCTAATGTCAGACGTGGACATCTTAACTGCTAGGCCAAACGCCTGCCCCACTTCATTGTTTTTCTTGTCTTGTAGATGCAGTATCTTCTGGAGGGTACTTCAAACATTTGTGGAAAATAGAATTGAAATTAAGTTTGTTTAAGTGCAAATATTTTTTTGAAATTCATGTGTATTTTTTTTTGAGATTTAAAAGCAAGATTTATTAGAGTCAGTGACCTCCAGCCAGAGTGGCATGGGGGTGGGGGGCTCCAAGAGAGGCAAAACCCAAAGGGGCCTTGTGGTAGTGGGGTTTTTAAGCACAAGTTGGGAGAAGAAAACAAACTTAACAGCTTGACATTCAGTTACCAGATGGGGATGAAACCCATCAGAAGACCTGATTTGCAGTCTTTGACCTTATCTGGCTTGCTCATGATAAAACAAGAAGAGGGGCCGGCGCTGTGGCATAGTGGGCCACCTGCAGTGCCGGCATCCCATATGGGTTGGAGTCCTGGCTGCTCCACTTCTGATTCAGCTCCCTGCTATGGCCCGGGAAGGCAGTGGAGGATGGCCCAAGTCCTTGGGCCCCTGCACCCGCATGGGAGACCTGGAGGAAGCTCCTGGTTCCTGCCTTCAGATCAGCACAGTTCTAGCCATTGCAGCCATCTAGGGAGTGAACCAGCTGATGGAGGACCTTTCTCTCTCTCTCTCTCTCTCTCTCTGCCTCTCTGTAAATCTGCCTTTCAAATAAATAAATAAATCTTTAAAAAAAAACCATCAGAAGGGTGGGATACCTAATTTGCTTTACAGGAAACTGGAAGCTCAGAAGGAATCACCACTGCTCTGCTGTTCTATAATACTGGAGATTCCTAAGGAGGTGGGGCAGGCACTTCTGACACTGCTAAAGATAACTTTTGGGGGAAGCAAGCACTTAGCACCCTGAATTTCCACTGGGACCAACCTGACTGCCTGTTAACCCGTCTGACTCCTCACATGCCCTCCCCCAGAGGAAGGGACCCTGACTTCTGTTAGGGGAACTGGGCGGTGACTGCTCTGGCTGCTTCATGCTGAAAAGGGGCATCGTTGGGAGCAGCAGTCGAGACAGGGTTCCAGTAGGAGGTGGCTTCTCAAGCTGGTGACAATGCCAGCTTGCAGAAGCTGCTTCCATCCAAGGTTTCATGTGCGTGGCCATCTAGAATTTCACCGTTTCAAGTCTGGAGAAAATGAATCTAACAAGCAGACTAAACTCACAGGGTCTAAAACTGAGGACAGAGTCATTATTAGAAGACCTAAGAAAGGTGCTGTCTAAACCATGAGGAAGTTTTCCCATTGAGAGGCAAATAGAAACTTCCAGAAGGGGCTTGGTAATAATCTGGTAGGCTTTAAGGCCTGGCCAGGCCTGAGGCTCAGCCCTATCTATCTCTTCACATGGGGTGCCGGAAGAGGCATCACAAGGGAGGTGTGAACTCCTTAGGGAAGGCCCCCTGTTGACTTCCATTACCCAGCTGGCCTGGGAGGAGAGCTGGCCTGAATAGAAGGCAGGTGGCATCTCTAAAAGGAAATTGACAGTTCTGCCTACAAACGTTACTGACCCTATTTGATCGTCCCCTCAACGGTGGTGATTACTTTGGAAGCTGGGCCGAGTGAAGGGCTTTTCAGCTCAGAGCCAACAGGGTCTGTGTCTCTCCTGGGAGTCCTTCCAGGGCAGTTCCATCTCCAGTGGCCCAGTTTTTGGCTGGCAGAGCTGCTAGGACTCTTCAATAGCTAACTTCTGTATCCATCCAAAGCCCTGGCTTTCCACATCACAAACCAATGCTATTTGCAGTGGACTGGTCTGTTGGGTCTCCTTGATGGCAGATTACCATGTAAAGCAGCCGTTAATTAGCCTGCCATCTACCTTCTTTTTTTTTTTTTTAAGATTTATTTATTTATTTGAAAGGCAGAGCTACAGAGAGGCAAGGGCAGAGAGAGAGAGAGAGAAAGAGAGAGGTCTTCCATCTGCTGGTTCGCTCCCCAGATGGCTGCAATGGCTGCAGCTGAGCTGATCCAGGAGCTAGGAGCTTCCTCCAGGTCTCCCATGCAGGTGCAGGGGCCCAAGGACTTGGGCCATATTTTATTGCCTTCCCAGGCCACAGCAGAGAGCTGGATCCAAAGTGGAGCAGCTAGGACTCGAACCGGCGCCCATATGGGATGCCGGCACTGAAGGCAGAAGCTTTGCCCGCTATGCTACAGTGCTGGCTCCAACCCACCACCTATCTTTACATTGCTTCTGCTCCCTAGCTTGCTCCTCTTTCTCTTTGGTTTCTGGTAAAGTAGACCAGATGAAACCTTTAAGAGGATGCAAGTCAAGGGGGTGCTCAGTCCCATTCCTAATCTTTGGTGGCCTGAGCTAGAAGTCTGGAGTCACAGGCATGTTCTGATTGTGGTTTTCTGTGAGGTAGGGTAGACAGTGCCCATGAGGAAAGCTGTGTGCTCGCTTTAACATCAAACATGACGACCACCTTATCTATAAAATTTGAAGTCATTAGTAAAATTTTCTGTCCTTGTGTTTGGTTTGAAAAGGGAGGTTTAGCTTGTTTACTGTGCCTATGGCAAAGTAAATCTAGCTGTGAAATCACAATTTAAGCTCTCATTTTGGCTATGTTATTATTATAGAAAGTGTTAGCCATCCCTTTTCTAAGGTCTAAAGATCAAACTGTACATCCCAATGGAGAGTCCTTCAGAATAGAATCAGTTTCCCATCTTGCAGCGAAATGAGAGAACAAGTCAGCCTTCCCAGATCGCTCACTGTCAATAACTTAATATCAAATGAAAACTCAGCAAGCAATTTTGACTGTAAATAAAAACTTATGAAAACATTTACTGGAAGGCCCAGTGCCTTCTATAAATTTCAAGACAAGAGTACATGTATTCGGATACATCACTTAAATATCTAACAGTTGTAGAAATCTGGGGTGGGAAAACTCCCTCCATTCAACAGGCACCAGAGACAGTGGAGGATCCAGCAGTTTATTAACGCCAGCAGGCTCAGCTGGAATTATTTCCTGAGAACTAAGCAATAATCCAAGTTTCTTACAGTGTTTATAGGTTCATCCATGTCATACCTTAGCTGTTACAGCATTGGTGGGTTCAAATTGCAGCCTATGTGACTTAGGGCCACACTTCCAATGGTCGGTGGGCCTGGTATGTTTGTAAGAGAGATATCAGGGCAGAATTATTAGGACAGATTTATGGCTGGAGTTCACAGAAGCAGAACGTAGGACGTCTTCCGCCCAGACAAGGTAAGAGTGGGCAGCTGCTTCACTAGTTAACTGCGAGCAGCCACTGTTCAAGGTCTGTGTTGGGAGGAGGCGGCTGCTTTTCTTCCTTTGTCTCTAGTTGTGGCCATATTTCCTCTGCAACACAGCATAGTTTTTTCATAATACGCATTTCCACAAACTTTTAGAAGACTCTACATAAGCATGATTTCCAAACTTTTGTACCAAAAGAAACTTCTTAAATTCCATTTTTTCTATGAACATTTTGATTTATTTATTTATTTATTTATTTATTTGAAAGAGTTACAGAGAGAGAGGGAGAAACAGAGATCTTCCATCTGCTGGTTCACTCCTCAGACAGCCACAACAGCCAGGGCTGGGGCAAGTCAAAGCCAGGGCCCAGGAGCTTCTTCCAGGTCTCCCAGGCAGGTTCAGGGGTCCAAGAACTTGGGCCATCTTCTGCTGCTTTCCCAGGACATAGCAGAGAGCTGGATAGGAAGAGGAGCAGCCGGGACTAGAACCAGTGCCCAGATGGGATGCCGGCACTGCAGGAGGCAGCTTTACCCACTACACAACAATGCTGGCCAGCTAATACAATTTTTTTTTAAGTTCTCTTCATTTTTTCTGGGGTCAGTTTTCTTTCTTTCTTTTTTTTTGTTTCAGTCTTTCTCCTTCATTTTTTTTAAGGTTTACTTCTCAAAAAGTCTGGGAAATCTTTGTCCGTTTTTTCTTTTTTCTTTTTTCTTTTTTTTTTTTTTTTGACAGGCAGAGTGGACAGTGAGAGAGAGAGACAGAGAGAAAGGTCTTCCTTTTGCCGTTGGTTCACCCTCCAATGGCCGCCGCGGCCGGCGCGCTGCGGCCGGCACACCGCGCTGATCCGATGGCAGGAGCCAGGAGCCAGGTGCTTTTCCTGGTCTCCCATGGGGTGCAGGGCCCAAGCACCTGGGCCATCCTCCACTGCACTCCCTGGCCACAGCAGAGAGCTGGCCTGGAAGAGGGCAACTGGGACAGAATCCGGCGCCCCAACCGGGACTAGAACCCGGTGTGCGGGCGCCGCTAGGCGGAGGATTAGCCTAGTGAGCCGCGGCGCCGGCCTGTCCGTTTTTTCTTTAAGATTTTATTTATTTATGTATGTATTTGAGAGGTAGAATTATAGACAGAGAGAGGGAGGGACAGAAAGAAAGGTCTTCCATCCACTGGTTCACTCCCCAAATGGCTGTAATGGCCAGAGCTGGGCTGATCCAAAGCCAGGAGCCAGGAGCTTCTTCCAGGTCTCCCATGTGGGTACAGGAGCCCAAGCACTTGGGCCATCTTCTACTGCCTTCCCAGGCCACAGCAGAGAGCTGGATGGAAGAGGAGCAGCCAGGACTAGAACTGGCATCTGTATGGGATGTCGGCTCCGCAGGCGGAGGCTTAGCTCACTACGCCACAGCGCCGGCCCTTCTTTGCCAGTTGTTATTGTGACTAAAGAATGCCATTGGTTAAGTATCTATCTGTGCAGTTAATTGCTCTGGGTTTTCCCTCTCAGGGTGCAGACCTTCCCCTGACTGGCAGAGCCGACCTCTATGTTGTCTAACAGTTTTCCTTCCTGCCCACATGCTGGTGGGGCAGACAGGCTGCGAGTACCTCGGCCCACCACGTAATCCAGGGCCAAAATGCTGATGGCTTTACTCTGGGAGGTCAACAGCTACGTGGGAGGCTCCCTCCCTCCTGCTATGGCTTCACCTTCCTGGCTGCACCAGGGAGAAGAAGCGAGTGGTGGCCCATGCCCTTGGGTGCAGCAGCCCTAGGAGCAGCCGGTCCAGCCTGGCCCTGCCTGGCTTCCACTCCCTGTCCGCTGCCTGGACTGCCTTGGGGCTTTGCAGGTTTGAAAATGGCTCCCACCTCTGATTCGGCTCCTGCACACATTCTGGGCGGTGGCTCCCTCCACACTATAGGACCCATGTGATCCTCTTCTCCCCTCCCCTCCCTTCCCCTTCCCTCCCCTTCCCTGTCCTCTTCTTCCCTCCACTTCTCTCCCCTCCCCTCCTCTCCCCCCTCCCCCTTCCCTCCCCTTCCTTTCCCTGCCCTCTTCTCCCCTCCACTTCTCTCCCCTCCACGCCTCTCCCCTCCTCTTCCCTCTCCTCCCTTCCCCTCCCCTCCCCATTCCCTCCCCTTCCCTGTCCTCTTCTTCCCTCCACTTCTCTCCCCTCCCCTCCCCCTTCCCTCCCCTTCCTTTCCCTGCCCTCTTCTCCCCTCCACTTCTCTCCCCTCCACGCCCCTCCCCTCCTCTTCCCTCTCCTCCCTTCCCCTCTCCTCCTTTCCTCTCTCCTCCCCTCCCCTCTCCTTCGTTCCCTTCCCTCTTCCTTTTTCTTTCGTTGTCTTTTGATTGACTTATTTGAAAGGCAGAATGAGAGAGACAGATGGGGAGACAAAGAGAAAGATCTTCCATCTGCTCGTTCACTCAACAACCAGGGCTGGGCCAGGCTGAAGCCAGGAGCCAGGGACCCCATCCTGTCTCCCATGTGGGTGGCAGGAGCCCAAGCACTTGGGCCGTCTGCTGCTGCTTGCCCGGGTGCACTAGCAGGGAGCTGTGGTCCTGTTTTCTGCCTCCCTAACATTCCTCAAAATCCTGGCTTAGCTGCTGTCCCCAGTCTCCCCTTTAACCTTTAAGGACCTCTCTTCTGTCGTCTCATTTCAGTGAGCGTGCTCAGAAGGCAGACGGATAAATGCTGTGTTGAGTTCTCCATCACAAACCAGCACCCCAGATAGCACCTTTATGTTCTGGGCATGGAGATGGGTGGCTTCCCACCATTCAGTTGTGTGGCTTTAAATATAATATGAGCAAAGCATAGGAAAATGGGGGGGGGGAGGGAGTAGGTAGAAATTGTTAAACAAGTACAAACCTGTGAGAGAGAGGTGATGAATCTGAGCACATTAAAATAAAAGCTTCTGCTCATTAACAACACCACAAAACTTAAAAAAATGGAAAAATAAGTCTCCAGCTGGCACAGGCTAAGCATCAAGAATTACTGAAAAAGGATTGCTGTCCAAAATATGGAGGACGTCTCCAGGTTAATGAGACCAGGGCAATGCGCCAATAGAAAGATGAGCTCAAGACTGAGTAGGCCTTTCACAGAGAGAAAGTGTAACCGCCAATAAACAAAGATGCTCAATCTCATTAGTAACCGGCAAGATGCAAAATCGACCCGCCATCAGAGGCCATTTTATACCTGCCAGACTGGCAACAATCCGAAGGCCAGAAAATGACTTCTGGGAGGGTGCCACGGTGGGCATGAGCGTGGTATGACCGCCTTGGCAAACGGTTCTGCTCTACCTTATAAAGTGCCTTTCCCCACGATTCAGCCGCATTCCCTGTTAGAGATACGTGCTTAGACTCCGAGCCCGGGACTTACACGCAAAGCTAGCAATGGACACAGCAGTGGACACGACAGCACAGCCGCCCTCACAGACACAGCGGGAAACACAAGCAGCGGTTGCATAATAAGGATGTGCATCAAGGGACTTCAATTGTGTTGAGTCCAATGCGAAGCCGCAGTGAAAGTGATCCTCCTATCTCTGTATCCTTAAAAAGGAGAGCAACACAGTTATAAGCACAAGGTTCTAAAACGCTGGCCATCTTTTTTTTTTTTTTTTAAGATGTATTTATTTATTTGCAAGTCAGAATTATACAGAGAGAGGAGAGGCAGAGGGGGGGGGGTCTTTAATCCATTGGTTCACTCCCCAAATGGCTGCAACAGCCAGAGCTTCGCTGATCCAAAGCCAGGAGCTTCTCCTGGGTCTCCCACATGGGTGCAGGGGCCCAAGGACCTGGGCCATCTTCCACTGCTTTCCCAGGCCATAGCAGAGAGCGGGATTGGAAGTGGAGCATCTGGGTCTCGAACCGGCATCCATATGGGATGCTGGCACCTCAGGACAGGGCCACATGGGCCGTCTTAAGGGGAACAGAGAGGCCTGGGAACCGGGAGAGGCAGAGGGACTGCCAAAGCCTGGGCTACCTTCTGTTCTCAAAGTGGCTGCTGTGTACAGAGCTTTTGTTTGTGTGTTTTGCTTTACTACGCTTTACTCTTAGATGCATTATGCTCCTTTTAAAAGTCTGGGAACCATATCACGTGCGAAAGGCGTTGAACTTGAGGGAAGAAGCAATTTATAAAGAGTGTGCTAATCTTCCAAGTTTTGAGTAACTAATATGTGCAGAAGGAATTTGCTCCTGCTCGTCTCCCAATGATCAGACATTAGGTCTTCCTGGGATACAGGCTTTAGAAAGGCCTTGTAATGTTTGTACCGCCTGCTATATGTTCACCTCCTTGCTAGTTTTTGCCAAAGCTCTCACAGGCCTGCGCTCGTTCAGTCTGTGCACAAAGACTGAGGAAGGGAAAGGCGGGGTCGCTGTATTCATTTCATAAATTTAAAACAGGGGGAAGTCCCCCAGAACTGGGGCTTAGCTCCTTAGTCCTGGTTTCTTCCTGCTGCAATCTTGCGTCCCTGGAGGAGTCAGTTAGGGGCTGCTCCAGCCTACAGGTGTCCCATGCCGGTTCCTGGATGGGGGAGGGGACTCCTGGTTCCCAGCTGAGGGCCCAGCAGGTGCCTTCCTAGGTAAAACAGGAAGGTCTTCCTCCAGAGGAAGGCCCCTGTGTTTGCTATGGTCGGGGCACTGTGGCAGGTAACCCTCCAAAGGGCGGGCTGAGCTCTCCCTTCCCAAGTGACTTCCTTGCTGGGTACCAGCCTCTGGGTGCCTGGGACTGCAGGCTGCAGGCGAGTTCAGGAAAACTCAGCGACAGAAGTGACATCATGGTGGGAGAAGTGGGTGATTTGTCTCTCCTGTCACAACCACCGTGCCCCTCGTCCACATGGCTGGGGAGTGGGATAGGGAGGCAGCCCTGGCTCGGAGGACCCCTGGGCCTTGCTTGGGGGACGGTCCTCAGGCCCTGACTGTGGCCCTGTCCGCGGCCCAGAGCAGCACGTGCTGGAGCAGCTGGAGCGGCAGGCCGTGCTGGTCTACACCCCATCACGCAAGGTGCACGGCAAGCGGGTGGTCTGCTACGACGACCGCTACATTGTGAAGGTGGCCTACGAGCAGGACGGCGTCATCGTCTCCAACGACAACTACCGCGACCTGCAGAGCGAGAACCCGGAGTGGAAGTGGTTCATCGAGCAACGGCTGCTCATGTTCTCCTTCGTCAATGACCGGTACGGGGCCCTGGGGTCCACGGAGGGCGGGGAGGGGGTTGGTGAGGCAGGAAGCCGCTCCCACGCCTAGGCAGCTGGGATTAGGGTCACAGGCACACCCAGACCTGTGGCTGACTCTGCCCCCCTGGCTGCCTGGTCATCACTGTCCTGGGTCTCTTCTGTGCCTGACCAGCTTTCCCCAAAATGTTCTCATGGCCACAACCAACAGGCGGGCCAAGCCCGTGCTCAGGGCACCACTGACTTTCTATTTATTTATTTTTTTAAAGAATGCAATACTTCAACTAAGAGCCCGGAAATAGTCATCCTGGGACAGATCCAAACTTTGTATATTTCCTTTTACTTATTTCAGTTTTTTTTTCCCCAAATAATTTTCAATTACACATGGGAGTGGGCAACAGAATCTTTTCTTTGGGTTGATATGCCCGGAAATGACTGTCTATATGGCTTTTGGTTGAAACACTCAAGGGAGCCTGGCTGGTTCATCTAGTGCAGGGGTGGGGAACCTGAACATTGATACCATCACTCACAGGCCACACACAGTCATCAGCTGCAACATTGGCCTGCTATAGCCTCATTGGATTGAGTCTCAGACCAAGTGATGCCGCAGGCCTTGTATGGCCTGCAGAATGGATGTTGGCCTCCTGGGTCAAGTCTACCCCTGATGAAGTGGGAGCAGCTGGTGGAGGAAAGACATCAAACTGGCCAGCAGGGGCTGAGAGAGAGCCTGCGGCCCAAGCTGAGGCAGGGAGGGAAGGACACGTAGGCACTGCGCACTGGTTAGACCCCTGAGGGCTGACACAGGGGGTCTGGCATAGTAGGTAGGGGTCTTCGGACTGGAATAGTGTGAGACGGGTAGGGATGGCACAGCAAGCTGAGAAATTACTCTCAATTCAGTTTCTGTTCCAGGCTACGATAGCGTGGGCCGCGTTCTGGGCCCTCTGGAACATGGTCTGTGACAAGTTTCGCCTCTGGGAGGGCAGAGACTGTGTCTGTCTTGAGTGCCATGTCCCCAGCATGCCTGGCACTACTAGGGATGCAGTGACGAGTGGTGGGGGAACGAAGGCCCTGGGAGGGGGAGGATGCCTGCCTGCCTGTGAGCAAGGGCACCCCCGGGGCACCCCGGGCATGGCCACAGGGCCCTCTTGGCACAGCTCTGCTCCCAAGAGAGCATGAAGCGAAGTCTCGGGGAACTTTTAATAACCGCAGTAGACAGCTCCCTGGATTCTTGGTCAGGGCCCAAGCCTGAGAGGCCAGCTGTGTAGCTGGGAGCCTAGCCAGGAAGCTCACCCGGGGATGGCTCATTTCTCTGCGGGGTGGGACCTCAGCATGGCTCTTTGAGAAAACAGCAGCCATAGAGCAAGGAGGAAGCTTTGTGGGGCCCGTGAGTGTCCCTGGGGACAGCCGTCCTTACTCTGGGGAGTTCTCGCGCAGAACCCACTTGTCCTTGGGATTCTGGAGCACCGGGGCTTGCAGGGAGCAGGGCCAGAGAAGCTGCAGCCCTTGAGGCTGAGCCGGGGCTGGGAGCTCCTGGGTTTGCAGGAAAGGCCGTCAGGGCTACTTGGGGACTCTGTGTGCACTCAGGTCCTCGACCACGTCACGGATTCAGCCCCTGGCACGAAGTGCTGAGTTTCTCCTGGATTCGCTCGGAGCTGTGTTTGGCACGGGGCGAGACATAGGAGAAAGGGGGCCTGCGCCTCAGGGCCTCATGCAGCTCCAGCACCTGCTAGGAGTTGGAAGATTTGACCTCCTCTGGAGGACCAGAGGGAAGCCAGGAAGCCTGAGCAATTATGCTTCAGTTCTCCTGGACAAAAATCACCCGGGAAGCTGGTAACAATGCAGATTCCCGAGCAACACCGGGTTCTGACGAAGCGGGTCTGGTGCGCAGCCCGGTGTATTTTTAACAAGCTGCCGGCTGATCCGGACGTGGCTGCCTTGAAGCTCTGCAGGGAAGCACCTGGGAGAGGCCGGGCTGGGCTGTGCTCTGTGTGGTTCTTTGTGCAGGGAGGGTTCTGGTGCTCGCTGGGGGCTTGGATCTGCTCTCCCTGCAGCCGCGCGCACAGGTGTCCGGGACAAGTCCCAGCTGGCCTTGCAGTCACCCCTCCCCAACCCCCATGCTTGTTTTTGCAGGTTCATGCCTCCTGATGACCCGCTGGGCCGCCACGGACCCACCCTGAGCAATTTCCTGAGCAGGAAGCCCAGGCCCCCAGAACCATCCTGGCAGCACTGTCCCTACGGTGGGTAGCACACAGGGCCTCGTGGGCCCTATTTGGGGCAGCACTGGGTACAGTCAAACATGCTGGCAGCCAGCAGTCAGGGTTCCAATGCAAGTTTTGCCCTTTACCAGCTGTGTGACCCTGGAGAGGTGTCTCAACCTCTCTGGACAGCTGTGGTGAGGATGAACCGGCACCCCGGGCAGCTGGCGTATGTTTCTGTCGGTGGAGGTGCTATGCAGGGGTCACACAGGACGCAGAGTGTCTGAGAAGCAGGGAGGCTGTGTGCCCCCCTCCCCCAGTTCCTGTCTCAGCCCCTTCACCTGGCCCCTGGCACCTCCTGTCCTCATCCTGGCTCCCTCCCCAGCTCCTAGGGACTTTGGTCAGTGCTGGCCATTAGGAATTAAGGGTTTACCCAGAGGGTCCCCTCCACCCTCCATGCCAGCCTTCCCACAAGCTCTTTGTTTTTCTTTTTCTTTTTTTTTTTTTTTTAGAAATCTTTTATTTAATGAATACAAATTTCATAGGTACAGCTTTAGGAATATAGTGGTTCTTTCCCCCGTACCCACCTTCACACCGCCACTCCTGTCCCATCTCCCACTCCCTCTCCCATCCCATTCATTAAGATTCATTTTTAATTATTTTTATATACAGAAGACCCACTCTATACTAAGTAAAGATTTCAACAGTTTTCACCCACACAGGCACACAAAGTAAAAAGTACTGTTTGAAGACAAGTTTTACTGTTAATTCTCATAGTACAACTCATTAGGGACAGAGGGCCTACATGGGGAGTAAGTGCACAGTGACTCCTGTTGTTGATTTAACAATTGACTCTTATTTATGATATCAGTGATCACCCGAGGCTCTTGTCATGAGCTGCCAAGGCTATGGAAGCCTCTTGAGTTCACAAACTCTGTCTGTACTTAGGGCCATAAGCAAAGTAGAAGTTCTCTCCTCCCTTCAGAGAAAAGTGCCTCCTTCTTTGATGGCCCCTTCTTTCCACTAGGGTCTCACTCACAGAGATCTTTTGTGTAGATCATTTTTTGCAGCAGTGTCTTGGCTTTCCCTGCCTGAAATGCTCTCAAGGGCTTTTCAGCCAGATCCGAATGCCTTAAGGGCTGATTCTGAGGTCAGAGTGCTGTTGCTGCTCACAAGCTCTTTCAATGACTTGCTTTGGCAACTTAGCTAACTCCTCCAGGTCTTGGTTTTGGTTTATAGAAGTTCAACCCATCCTCGAGTGACACTCAGAAGTCACTTACTGTTACAGTGAAGGAGTCCCCACACACATTTAGGCAGGCCTGCTTTCACTCTCAAAAGTGCCCAGGTTTGGACGATCACTTACTTCTTTGACCGTTTGTTTGGTCACTTCTGACAGAACAGTGTGTAGGGAGACGGCAATGGTTCGCCCAAGAGATGTGGACAGCGGGGAAAGCGAGGCACGAGCACTACTCCCCACTGCTCCATCCCCGAGGTGGTCCTCATCCACCAGGTCGGGGAGGTGGAGGCTGGAGGTCATTGAATCCTTGGGATTTGGTCTCAGTCCCTGGTCACAGGGAGTCAGGGAGCCAACACTCTGCCGGCCTTGGGATGTGGCCCATCCAGCCCGCGCCCAGATCCTGTGCCTTTTAGGGGCGCCAAGGCTGCAGGAGTCCCCACGGAGAGAGGCCACGGACGGGGCCCTGCCCAGTCCTCACCGGGACCGCACAGCCCTGTGCTACAGGTCTCACCCTGAGCCCTCTCTGCTCTCTTCCAGGCAAGAAATGCACCTACGGCATCAAGTGCAAGTTCTACCATCCCGAAAGGTCGCACCACGCACAGCTGGCGGTGGCGGACGAGCTCCGTTCCAAGACCAGGGCCTGGCCGGGCGGGGGCGCGCCGGAGCGGCGGCCCTCGAGCGCCCGGGGTGGCCCCGTAGCGGCTGGGCAGGCTCTGCGCGAGCCCGGCGCGCACAGTCTCCAGCCTGCGCGTCCGCCTGCGGACCTGGCCGCCCTGCAAGGGAGCTTCTCGCTCCTGACCATCGGCGATGGCCAGGGGTCCCTGGGGCCGCGCCCCCCGGGACCCGCGCCCCTGCTGCGCAGGCCCGACTGGGTGCCCATGGGCAGCCGGGCACCTTCCGGGGCTTCGCCAACCCCACGCGCGGGCAGCGCTGCCGCCCCACGGCCGCCCTGCCTCGGGGCGCGGGTACCGGCCCTGCCCGGCCTTCGGAGCCCTCAGGGCGCGTTCGCGCTGGGAGACCTCCCGCCCCGGCCCGGGCCGCAGCTCCAGCCGCGGGGCGGGCTCTGCGCCAGGGACCTGCCCGGCGACCCGTGGACTCGCCAGCCCAGCTCCGACCGCTTCCCGGGCCTTTCGGCCTGGGCGGAGCCGGCCTGGGGCGACCGCACCTGTGACTGCGAGGAGCACACGCGCGCTCGGGCGCGCCCCGCGCTCTGCTCTGTCTTCCCACCAGACCAGGTGGACAGCGCCATGGCCGCGTTCCCCGCCCTTTCCGACCCCGCGGGCCTCTTCCTGCTCCTGCAGAGATCTCAGAGGGCGGGCGCGCAGCCGGGAACGCCCTGAGCGGCCGGTGCAGCTACCGCAAGCAAGGCCCGTGCGTTGCTTTGCAGCTGGGGCGGTGGGCCCCTGGTTGCCTGCCTGAACCCGGGTCAGCGGCAGCCGCGAGGCCTCCTGTCTAAGGACGGGTCATCTCCGCGTCGGCTGCGGGTGCCCCGTGGCGTTACGGGCGACCTCACTGAGACAGGGGCCTGCTGCGCGGAGGGAGGTTTGCAGGTTGCAAGTCCCAGTCCACCCCAAGGGTGTGTCCAGCATCAAGCGGCATCCACAGGGGGAGTAGGGGGGGTGTCACAGAATCCACTAGGGGGTCCCCAGCACAAACCCAACGCAATAGGAAGTGTCAGAGCGCACGCCACTGGGCCTAATCCCGTGGACTCCGCTGGTGGCTTTGACACTGTGTGCCTGTGCTGGGCTGTGAGGTGGGGCAGGGCACTTGGTCCAGAGAGCCTGCCCCCCGCCCCGCCCCCTTGGCACACAGAAACCAAACAACACAAATACACACGTGTGTACACCCTAGCACACACCTACCTACACGCACCAGACATCTCGCGGCTCCTGGCTCAGCCTGTGCGTTTTTTCCCCAACCATCCCTCATGGGAGTTTCTAGAATAGGCCTTCCATTGACCACACCTTCTAAGCCAACCTGGGCCCAGTGAGTGCAGACTGGGGAGATCCCCCAACCCCATTTGTGAGGGACAGGAACTGAGCCACTGTGGCCACAGCTGTCCTGCCCCATGGGGGGTGGGCAGCATCCACCCAGTCCAGCGACAGTGGTAGCCGTCTAGGGATGGCTCATTTCTTCCTCTGGGGTGTAGTAGCTGGGCTGTTCAGGGACAATGAGAGACACCTCCCAGTGGGAAGCCCGTTCCCGGTGCCCACAAGCTTCCTGAGGCGCCGCCAGTGCCTGTGGAAGCTGCTTCCTGTTGGCTGCTGGGCTGCCTGAGTTGGCTGTGCGGCCCGGGTGCACCTGAGGAAGCAGGTGTGCGCCTCCCTGTCACTCGCGGCAGGTGCTGCCCCTGGAGACGCGGGGACGCTAGGGCTTGCAGGGACACCTTTCCTGCTTTGAAACCAGATGCTCCTCGCGACTTGAGCCCCATCTGGTGCTCGCCCCCTCTCCCCCCACCCCAGGACACTGCAGCCAGTTTTACCTTCTCCCCTGGGGGCCTTGGTCCCCATGAGGGCCCTTGCTTCCTAGAGAGATTGGGTGTGTGTATGTGTGGGGTTTCTCCTTTCGACTGGGCAAGCTTTCTGTTAGAGTTGCTTTTTGTGTCTCTGGTTCTGTCTCCTGATGTGGCATCATTGTGTTGCTGATTGATGGCTGGAGATGTTTAAACTGCTTCTTCTGAGGACAAGTTTGAGCTTGAGTAAGCTGTAAAGCTGTTTTATTTGGTTTGCTGTGATTAAGACACACACACACACACACACACACACACACTGGGGCTGGCGTAGTGAGTAAAGCTGCTGCCTGGGACGCCGGCATCCCATATAGAGGCTGGATTGTGTCCTGGCTGCTCCACTTCCTATCCAGCTCCCTGCTAGTGGCCTGGGAAAGCAGTGGAGATGGCCCAAGTGTCTGGGCCCCATCACACATGGGAGCCCTGGATGAAACTCCTGGCTCCTGCCTTTGGCCTGGCCAAGTTATGGCCACCGCGGCCAAGTGAACCAGCAGGTGGAAGATCTTTATCTCAGTCTCTCCTTCTTTCTCTCTCTGTAACTCTGACTTTTGGATAAATAAATCTTTTTAAAAAATGAAGAAACAGCACCTGTCAAGTGTAATCCCCTTTGGAATTTTTCCAAAGTCTTAGTATGTCTTTGTGACACAAAACCATGCATGGGGTGGGTAAGTGAAACGCTCCTAGTTGCGTAGCTGTTACTTGCTCCAAAAATAAAGCCCTTCGACCATGCCTGGACTCTTTTATTTTGGTCAAATTATGCATCAATGTCCCCCACTGGCTTTTGTTCCCTAGACCGGTTTTTCGCGTTATCTCTTGCAGGTGAACTGCTGGCTCATTTCCGCTGCTGCATGTGGTGTGATCCCACTCTTGGTGGGGGGTGGGCATGAGCGGCTGGAACCCAGCTTTTCCAGGAGAAGCAGCGAGGCCCACAGCACGGGGGCACCTGCGCTTGCCACTTAGCAGGCTGCTTGCTTCCCAGGCATTTCAGCACTCAGCTCAGGCCGTCTTGTTCAAACCTGCAGCAGATTCCCCACGCTCAAGCCAGAGGAGCCAGTGCCGCCCTGTGCGTGCCCCCACGCAGCTCTCCCAGGGGCCTCTCTCTGGAAGGTGGCTTACGGCTGGATTGCAGAATGTTGAGGGCCAAGGGGAGCAGCAGGGGTAGCTTCTCATGTTGGCATTGTGCCAAGGAAATCACTCCCAGCTCTGGCTGTACGTGGAATTCAGATGGGAAGCCAGCCGCTTGGATGAGGCCACTGGACAGAAGTCCATCTGGGGAGGGGCGTGAGGAATAAGGAAGACCCAGGATGAAGCCGACGGGAGAGGGGTTCTGGGAACGGGAGCCTGGCGTTGGAACCGCAAACCCCACCATGAGGGGGAGGCACGGAGCCAGGAGCAGCTACATCCTTCGTGGGGCCCTGTGCAGGATGAAACGCGGGGCCCCCGTCCGAAAGGATGAAGAATTTCCGGAGAGTGACAGCAGGGCGTTAAATGAAGCACAAGGATCTCTCGGCTCAGGGCTGTGAATGACCGCACAGGTCCCACATGTCCCACATGTCCTGAGGCCGCAGGGGGATTCCCGTGGTTGTGTCTGCCTGCCCAGGAAGAGCCACCCGCTGGGTCACCCACTTCCATGCGGGTAAAGATACCCACAATGGGCAGTGATTAAGCAGTGCTCTTTGGCTCTAAGCATGGCTCACAAAACCGAGCAGCAGAAGGCCCTGGGGATGTGGGATGAGAAAGTCTCCATTTCTTTCTCCTTCCAAGGTTTTTCCTGCACCGTGAGAGGTATTCGGCTGGTAGACTTATGTACGTCTCCTTCCAATGGATCTTGATTGTCAGCCCCTACGTAAGCCTCCGTGGTGCGTGGAGATGGGGTAGAGGCAGGGGTGTGTTGGGGCTGGGTCGGGGGAGAAGCAGTCCCCTCAGCAGGCAGTACGTTGGTCAGGCAGTCAGACCTGGGCACTGGGCCAAGCTCGGATGGCCCCACGCTCCTCCACCCTCAGCTCTGGCTCTGAGCAAGGAGTGACTGACGCGATAGGAAAACCCCTGTGTGTGCCCCTGCACGGCCACCACAGCCTGGTGGAGGAGGAAGGCCGGGGCACGCCTCCGTGGAGGGCTGGGACTCTGCCTTAACCTCGTCTCTCCAGCAGCCCTGAGTTTGCTCAGTCGGCACAAGCAAGGTCATGCCACAGAAGCATGGTGCCAAGTCCCAGCAGGTCAGACCACAGGGTGCGCATCCTGTTCGCGTTTCATGTCCATTGCCAGGTGCCTGGGGCTGGGCAAGTAGAGACTCCAGAAATTTACTAAAAGGTCACCAGAATATGTGTGGGTGCTGGGATTGCGATAATACGTGTCCCTCTCCCCATTTCCAACTCAATATTTTTCCACGTCTCTACAGTTAGGAACTTTGGTAATGTGAAAAAGTCTTCCTAAACAAAAGTGCATTAAAAAAAGATTTATTAATTTATTCAAAAGTCAGTTACAGAAAGAGAGAGATTCCATTTTCTGGTTCACTTCCCCAAATGGCTGCAATGGCCGGGGCTGGGCCAGGTTGGCTGACACCAGGAGCCAAGAGCATCTTCTGGGTCTCCCACATGGGTGCAGGGGCCCAAGCACTTGAGCCATCCTCTGCTGCTTTCCCAGGTGCATCAGCAGGGTGCTGAATTGGAAGTGGAGCAGTCAGGATATGAACCAGTGCCCAAATGGGATACTGGCATTGTAGGCGCTGGTTTAACCCTTTATGCCACAATGCCAGCCCCACAAAACTGCCTTTTTAAAACAAAAAATAATACAACGCATCTACATTATTCAGAAAATTCAGGCATTTTCCACTGACATGTGGTGACAGGAAAGCGTAGCTCCTTCTACACTTCTTTCCATACATATACGCATGCATGCTTATTTGAAAGAAAATCCTCATGGGCCCAGTTACTGGTTGCTGTAGGGCTGGTTGGAGCTCGGAACCTGTCTGTGTGCACGGGCCATGTTCCACTGCTGGTGAACCCAGGGTGGATCCTGGTTGCTGGGAGGGTTGAAGGGTCTTGGGAGGCCCCCTTTGGGGGCTGTGTTCTCAGTGGCTGCGGTGGGGTTTCCAGGGAAGAGTATTGCCCCGTGACCCCCAAGGTCACAAACATTGCCCTGGGCTGTGCACTTGGGCTTAACCTGCTGGCAAGTGCAAACAGGCAGCCCTCACTGTGTATGCTTGGCCCCAGGGCCTCACAGCCTGGCCTCCAGGGAGAGTACGAGGAAGAAGACGGGCTTTTCCCACCCCTCTGTTTGCGCTGTTGGAGTGGATCCCACTCCAGGGAATTTTTTTTGGCCATGTTGTTTGCAAAATAACTCTTCCTGATGTGTTTGGTCCGAATGCGGCTGATTTATGGCCCTGCTGACCTTTGAGTCGCTGGTAAGGGCTGCCCAGGGCCCGTGGAGCTTTTCCGTCGCCTGTTTACCCAGACTGATTTAGGAGCCGCAGTGGCCAGAGTTCGGAGTTCTCTATTTTTTCTGCCCCGTGACCTGACCGCGTAGTCCCTACCCTCGGGGCTCACATCCTGGTTGGGGCTGCTGGCCTCAAGGTTTTATGGAGGCTGGCCTGGACCCTGACACTTTAGCCTCAACCCTTTCAAGAGTCTGCCAGGGAAACCGCCCAGAGCTCTGTGCTCCGCGGCCGGGCCGGCTTCTTCCCACTCCGCCCCTGTCACTATTGTGATGGGGCCTGGGGCGCTGTGGACAGGAGGTGGCAGAGCGAGTTGGAGGAACCCCAGACCTCCTTCTGTGGGGCAGTGGGGAGGGCTGTGTGCTTCAGTGCCGGACTTTGTCCCTTCATGTGAAACGTAGATGACCCGAGGGTGTGCTTGTCTACGCAGGCCCAGCCACTTGCTCCAGGCACAGGAAATAACAGAAAAGTGCAACAGCCTGCATTTCTTTACCTCTCCAGCCCACGTCCACGTCCTACGGCCCTGCTGTGTGCAGGAGGCTGTGCCAGGCTGGGGAAAATCCTGCCCTCATCAAAGTTACTTTGGAGACCAAAGTAGAGCTGATGTGCTTGGTGCGTGTTCCTCCCCCCCCCCCCCCCCCGCCCCGTGCCAGGCCGAAGTCTGTAGCCAGGAGCTTCTTCCGGGTCTCCCACGTGGGTACAGGGGCCTCTGCTGCTTTCCCAGGCCATTAGCAGGGAGCTGGATTGGAAACAGAACAGCTGGGACTCCAGCAGGCGCTCCGATCTGGGACTTGGGCGACAGCTTAACTCGCTATTCCACAGTGCCAGCCTCTTACTAATTATCTTCAGCATGCACAAATAACTGTGTATTTTTAAAATTATTTATTTATTAAGAGGCAGAGAGAGAGGGAGCTCCCATCTGCTGATTAACTTTCCAGGCGCCTGCAGCACTGGGGGCTGGGCTGGGCTGGGGCGGGAGCTGGGAGCCAGGAAGGCAATCCAGGTCCCCCATGTGCTTGCAGGAACCCCGTTACTTGAGCCACGCCTGCTGCTGCCCAGGGTCTCATTGGTAAGAGCTGGAATCAGGAGCTCGGGTCGGGTATCAAACTCAGGTACCCTGATGTGGGGTACAGGCATCGGAACAACCAGCCTACACGCTCGCTAAGGCAACCACGCTTCCTTGTTCAAAAGAGGGCTAGTCAGAGCAAGCCTCAGGCCCGCGGCCCGATCTGTAAGGCATTCTTTGGTTCCTTCTTCCACTGCGGGCACCGAGAGCACGCTGGGAAATGAGAGGAGCTGGAAGTTTCTGGGCTGGCTCTGAGCTCTGCTGTGGCCTCTCCCAGACTTCCCCGCCAACCTCAGCAACCCAACCCAACCCAATCAAATCCCAGTTTTGCCTCTTTCTCAACTCCCTCTCCCCATGGCAGCACATACGAGGTCCCCACTGCTCACGGAAGCGACTTGAAAAGCAGCCTGGAAAAACTGCAGAGCGCGCACACGGGGCTGTGTCGTGAGCACGCCACTCTGCCACGCGCCCACACTGCCTCTGTCTGTCTGTCACTGAGAATGGGTGACCCCCTCGCCCATTGCTCTCTGGCCACTCTGTCAGCCTCCGTGGGAGCTTGGGTTTGGTGAGGGGACACAAAAAGTCAAAAAACCCAAGGAAGGATAAATGTAGATAACCCTGTTCTGATCAATGTACACTGTATACATGTATTGAAATATCACACTGTAGCCCACAAACGCATATAATTATTATAAATAAAAATAAAATAGATTGCAAAACAATATTAACATAAAATTATACATGTTTATGGAGTACCACGTGATGTTTTGATACCTGTATACATTGTATGGCCAATTGGTAAAAATACATCTATCTCCTTGAACATTTAACATTTCTTTATGGTATTCTCTCTTTTTGTAACATTTTCTATCATCACCTCACTGTGCAATTCAGAACATCTTATTCCTATAGAGCTATTACTTAATATCTGTTAATAAACTTTTCCTCATTCCTAACCCTTCTTCTCTCCCCAGCCTCTGGTAACCACCATTTTATTTATTTGAGAGATAAAGTGAGAGAGAGGGAGAGAGAGAGGGAGAGAATCTTTCATCATTGGTTCACTCTCCAAATGACTGCAATGGCCAGAGCGGGCCGAAGCCAGGAGCCAGGATCTTCTTCTAGGTCTCCCATGTAGGTGCAGGGGCTCAAGCACTTGGGCCATCCTTGAATGTTTTCCCAGGACATTAGCAGGGAGCTGGAACAGAAGTGGAGCAGCTGGGACTTGAACCA